GGCGGTGGGGGGAGAGAAGGAACTGAAAGGGTGTGAGAGTAGGTTACTTTGAGACTATAACATAATATAAGGGTAGGAATGAAACAACTTTGAGTGGCACTGGGAATGGAGATAGATACTGAGCACCTATATCCTTCCAGCTTGGGCATGGTGAAAGTGAGTAGCTCCCATTTCCTCCAAGAGGAGGCCAAAGAGGAATCAGTATCTACATCAATATCTTTCTGGCTCTGGAAGGAGCCAGATTCAAGAGAAAAGCCCCTGGTCTCTGTTGTTGTCATTGTTCTAATTCCCAGCACTGTCTCTGACCCCAAAGAGAAGATCTTCTGATGGTAATTTGCTTCCCTCTCTCCACTGCAATGAGCCAAAAGCTTAGGTTGTTTTTCACGCATCCATTTCAGTGAATACAGAAGATTGGAAAAGGACTGATGCCTTTGAATTTTTATGTTGGTGAAGAGTATTGGATATCCCATGGACTGTGAAAAGAACAAACAAATCTATATTGGAAGATGTGCAACTGAAGTGATGCTTAGAAACAAAGTTGTGAGTCTTCATCTCACATATTGTAAGAACGTTAAGGGACAGGGGGGCAGTCACTAGTAGAGGATATCATGCTTAAAATGTACTGGTCCAGGAAAGGAAAGGAAGACTCTCAAGTAGATGGAATGACACAGTGTCTGCAACAACGGCTTAAGCACATGGAAATTGTAAGGAAGCACAGGGTGTAATAGTATTTCATTCTGTTGTTCAAAGAGTTGCTATGAGTCAGAGTCAACACAATGGGGCTTACCAATTACAATACACAGTGAAAACCCCTTCGAGCACATATCAGTAAATACACAGCCCATGTGGGCCCTGAGTCCTCACCTGCTTCCTGTAGAATGTAACCTACTAGACAGTAAGCCATGCAGATCTTGACTGTTTACTCATTTTTGTCTTCAAAGTGTGCATTTTCACACTTCATTGAAAAAAAGTACCCCAAGGCAGAAGAACCTCCCTCTTAAACACATGTGAACATATATGTATGCTCTACCATCTTATATGCGTTTGCACAAAAAACGTATCCGTGGACATTCAAGGTGTCCTTTAAAAAAAAATATTAGTTTCTTTACAAAAATTGAATATGTTGATTTCGAGAACAGATTTATCCAATTTCCCTCACACCCCTACCCATCAAGTTGTACAACTCCATGATTAATTCCCCCTCCTCCTGCACATCCTGAG